GACATAAATTACAGTAGCATCATCATAAATGAAAACTGAGGCATCACTACAACTCCTACAGGCATTTAAAGGATAATAAGGGAACATAATGAACAACTTTATGCCAGTAAATTCAAGAACTTAGGCAAAATAGAGAAAATCCTTGAAAAACACAAACTAACGACGCTCATTCAAGAAGATACAGATAAACCAAATAGTCTTATAACTATTAAAGAAATAAAATTTGGCCAGGTGCGGTGGCTCACGTCTGTAATCCCAGCACTTTGGGAGGCTGAGGTGGGTAGATCACCTGAAGTCAGGAGTTTGAGAACAGCCTGGCCAACATTGTGAAACCCCGTCTCTACTAAAATTACAAAAATTAGCTGGGCATGGTGGTGAGCACCTGTAATCCCAGCTACTCAGGAGGCTGAGGCTGGAGAACTGCTTGAACCCAGGAGGCAGAGGTTGTAGTGAGCCAAGATTGTGCCACTGCACTCCAGCCTGGGTAACAAGAGTGAAACTCCATCTCAAAAAAAAAAAAAAAAAGAAAAGAAAAAATAAATACAATTTGTAGTTGATAGCCTTACCAAAAAGAAAAGTAGGGACCCAGACATTTTCAATGGTGAATTCTACCAAACATTTAAGGAAGAAGGAATACCAATTCTATGCAACATCTTTCAGAAAATACAAGAGGCGGGAGAACTTCTGATTTCATTTTGATGCCAGCATATGCTAATATCAAAACCAAAGATAGTACAAAAAAGGAAAACTGCAGACCAATATCCCCCATGGACAGAGACACAAATATCTTTAGCAAAAATATCACCAAAGCAAATCCAGAAATATATATGAAAAGAATGATATGTTATAACCAACTGAAGTTTATCCCAGAAGTTCAAGGCTGGCTAAACATTCAAAATCAAGCAGCATAATTCACCACAGTAACAGACTAAAAAATAAAAAACATTTTCATTTTTACAGATGCAGGAAACGCAATTAACAAAATTTAATGCATGAGAAGAAATCTCAGCAAACTACCAATATGGGGGAACTTCCTCAATTTGGTAAAAAGCCTAACATACTGAAAAGGTGAAAATGGAATGCTTTCCCTCTAGGATCAAGGATGTCTACTCTTGTCATTTTTATGCAACATTTCAATCACAGACAAGGCTATTAGAACTAATACGTGAGTTTAGCAAGGCTATGGGAGATGAGGTCAGTGAAATCAATTGACAAACCAATTCTAAAATTGATATAGAAAAACAAAAGGACCTAAAATAACCAAAACAACTCTGATAAACAAAAAGTTTGAGGGGTAAAATTAACTGATTTCAAGAATTATTATAAATCCACAGTCATTAAATAGCATGTTGGTATAGAACAAATAGATGAATGGAACAGAGTAGAGAATCCAGAAATAAATCTACATAGATATGGCAAATTGATTTTTTTTGATACAGAGTTTTCCTCTTGCCACCCAGACTGGAGTGCAATGGCACGATCTTGGCTCACTGCAACCTCTGCCTCCCGGGTTCAAGCAATTCTCCTGCCTCAGCCTCCTGAGGAGCTGGGATTACAGGCACCCAGTGCCACACCTAGCTATTTTTTTTGTATTTTAGTAGACAGGGAGTTTCACCGTGTTGGTCAGGCTGGTCTCTAACTTCTGACCTCCGGTGATCCTCCCACTTCAGCCTCCCAAAGTGCTGGGATTACAGACAGGATCAATTGCGCCCTTCAGGTAAATTGATTTTTGATATGGGCAGTCTAGTAAATAAACAGTACCGGAACAAATGCAATTGGTATGCAAGAAACAACCCATGATATAAACCTCACAGTTTTTATACAATTTACTCAAAATGGAGCATAGATCAAAATAGAAAATGTAAAATTATAAAACTTTCAGAGGCCAGGTGCAGTGGCTCACACCTGTAATCCCAGCACTTTAGAAGGCCAAGGTGGAAGGATTGCTTGAGGCCAGGAGTTGGGAGACCAGCCTGTGGGCAACATGGAGAAATTCTGTCTTCTCTACAAAAAATACAATAATTATTTTCAGGGCATGGTGGCGAGGGGCTACAGTTCCAGCTACTCAAGAGACTGAGGTGGGAGGATCACTTGAGCATGACCACGCCACTGCACTTCAGTCTGGGTGACAAGGTGAGACCCTGTCTCAAAAAGAAAAAAAAAAACTTTTAGAAAAAAAACAGAAGAAAATCTTCAGGATCTTAGGCTAGATTTGACATAAATGCATGAATCACAAAAGAAAAATTTCATTAACATTTTCAAATTTTAGTTATTCAAAAGAGAATGAAAAGACAAAACCATGGACTGCTAGAAAATATTTGCAAATTAAATATGCAACAAAGAACCTATATCCAGAGATAAAAACAGCACCTGGCTCTTGGTATTGTTTTAAAAACTAAGGGAGTTAATACAAGTCCTTAGTGTAGTGCCTGGCACGTATAAACCATTTAACAAAAGTGAACTATTGTAGTTTTATTATTACTTTTATTATAGGATTCTTTAAAATTGATAAAAAGATACAAGCAAAATGTTCATCAACAAATTGTTAAATTATGTTATATATATTACAAGGAACATTTGACAGTGCTTCATAAAGAATGCAGTAAATCTGTATGTCAGCCTGGAAAGGTGTTCAGTATAATATGAGCCCAGTTCTGCAAGAAGAACATGATATATTTTCTGGAAAATTTTGTAGAGTGGTACTCACCGAACTGCTAACAGCTGTTATCCCTGGACTGGGGAGTGGAATGACAAGGAGAGGAAAGGGAAGGTCAGGGGTAGGGGGAAATTTAAATGGGGTCATTTTTCATTCTATTTATTAATATAAGAATATATTTCTTACTTGTAAAACAAAAAATACAAATAAAATAATTTTTTAAAAGACCAATGATAAAAAATAACTTTGTGATTGTCTTCACTGATGGATTCAAGTGGATGAGGTCCAAGCTTACTTTGGACTGAAAAGTTTGCCCAAAACCAGCAAACACTGATGGCACTACCAAGAACTGAGTTATCGTCCCGTTTGTGCCAATAACTAGCTTTGCCGTGTTACTAGAAATGTTAAACTCTAAACTGGAATCAAGCGTTTTCTTCTGTCTTCACAGCCTGTAACACAGGCCCTGGTTTGGAGTTAGCGCTCTGTTAATGGAGGGACTGACAGCAGTCGAACTGAAGCAGCTGTAACAGCCCTGCCCAGGCCCTGTTGCAGTGACACATGATCACCATCTAGTGGTCAAGAGGATTTCTGCAGAATTTAGCTAGGAGACGAAAAAGACTTCTTTTTGTGGTGTGTTCCAGGGACAGACGCCTGTCAGCAGAAAAGCCTTGACTATCCATGATCTTTCTTAGAGACTGTTCCCAACCATCAGGGTTTATGTCTTGGAGTGCTGGTAAGATGACGCCTCTGGTCCCTGCCCCACGTATCTCTAAGTTGTGCAGTGTGCACTCTTGCCACATCCCTGTTCTACCCTAAAGGAATGAGCCTGGTGTGATAATTAGCACACATGCCCATGCCTTCTCCACGTTGATGGAACACTCATAAACTTCCCTAAGCCAGTCTCCTTAAGACGAGATACAAAAAAAAAAAAAAAAAAAGACTGGGAAACCAACTATTCTATCATCTTTGCGCTGCAGGCAAAGATTGCAGGTGGCATGTTTCTGAATCATGTACTGAAACTGTATAGTGAACTTAAAATATCTGTCATTCCAAAGGGCAACAGGGAAACCCATACTTAGTCAGTAATGTAAGCAGTACTCTGTGACAAAAGCCTATCCTGCTCATGCAGGTGATGGGAGCAGGTTTTCTTCTCTTGCCTCCTTTAAGTAGCTTCACAGTTAAGGAAGCAGCTAGGTAATGCAGAGGCCAGGAGATATTGGACCCTGCGCTTATGGACCCCTGGAGTCAAAAGCAAGTGATGTAGGGACACACTGGAAGTTAGAGAGGTCTCAGTGTTTATACAGTGCTGATATTCACTTGCTAAGTAGAACAAGCTTCCTCTAAAATTGTGTTCTGGAGACAGCAGAAATCTTTTCAAAGACCCCTAAGAGAGAAACAGTGTCTAGCCAGGGGTGAATGGGGAGAATCTCTTCACACACATTCTGGAAGTATTCATACATTATTAAAATCTTTTTGTAATCCCACCTGTTTATCCACACAATATGTGCCTCATGTATGTGGGAAGAAAAACACTTGTGAAATTTGGCGAGAAGAGGACAGGAATTTGAGAACCTTGCATAGACAAGAGCCACAGGCAGAACTACATTTGTGGTGGGCTGCTTTGGATGAGCGCAGACATGGGAGAGATTTTTCCTACAACCATGCGCTGAAGTTGCAGAGAAATTAGAAATTATGAACAAGATGAATCCATGCAGCTACTCCGAGCCTAAAAAAAGCAAGAAGTCCTAATATCTATTTATATGGAACTCCTTGGGGACTGTAGTTGTCCTTCCTCATGGCTGGAAAAGACTGAGTAGCATAATGTTTTGAAGACCTTATCGTGAGGACATAGATGGAATAAGTCAATTGTCATGCTGGCAGCACTCCTCACTCCTGACGGTCCAGGGGGAATGAAGGCTATGGGTTTCCCTATCCTCTGCGGCGTCCCCCTCGTGGGGCAATGCGTCTGAGAGGCAGTGCGTGCCACAGAAAACGGAGCACCTTTCTGAGATGTCTCCCTGCCCGCTCCTGCACGGAGACTGGCGCCTGGAATTGTGGCCCCAACCCGCCTCCCTTCACTAGAGTCAGTGTCGGTCCGGAGTCCCTGAACCCCGCGGGCAGGCGCCACCTGGCCTCCGGCCCGCTTCCCTGCACAGCGGCGACGCTGGCTCGACGTGCTATTTCGCTTTCCGTCGATTGGCCTCGTCCGCTGTACCGGGCGCCTGGAGTGGCTGCGCCTGGCGCGCCCAGAGCCCCGCGGCTTCCCGCGGCCGCCACGCGGCTGCTCTGCGGGCGGGTTCCCCGGGACGCGAAGGCCGGGCGGGATGGCGGCGCCCCTACTCACGTAGCGCTGTAGCTTCCTCTCCGGGGGCGACTTAACGAGCCAGCCAGTGCACACTGCGTCGCCCGCACTCATCGTGGCCGCCGCCGCCGCTTCCTCCAGCTGGGCCGGCCGCCCACTGCAGAAGGAAGTCAGGCCAAGGATGCCGGTGGGGCGGACCCAGCGCCCGCCCGCCCAGCGCCGCCCCAAGCAGCCGCTGCGACCCCCGCCTCCGGCCGCGACGGTCCCCAGTGAGGGAACCAACGTCGCCTGCGACCCGTGACGGCGGGAAAAACTGGCAGCTAACCCTGGGAAGCCCCTTCGAGCAAGTGCAGCGCCGCCAGCGGCTGTGTCCTGGGAATCCTAGGCAGCACGGCGCCTGCCACTCTCACGCAGGGTCACGAGAAACCGCTCGGAAGGAGCCCTGCAACCTAATCAGCCACACCAAAGCCCACGTAGCACCCGCATCTGCCATATGTACAGTTCAGGGAGACACAAAAGCAAGGCTCCTCTTTGACTTCCCTATTCCACTTGATTGTATTTTCCACGTCCCTCCCGCAAATGCCTTTGTATTCAGTGATAAGCTCTGCCGGCTAAACAGACTAACTGTCCGAATGAACCCAAACCAACTAAACTCAAAAGGTTTTCCACTCTCTTTCCACTCTCTTTTCACTCTAAGGTTTTCAAAGATGGATCTAAAGTTGATTGTGGCAACTAATGTGCTGACCACGCTGAACAAAAATAACAATCACGAGCACCTGACACTTGTGACCTTCCTTACTGCCAAGCTAACACCATTCCAGGGATTGTGCTAAGCACTTTATAGGCGTTATCTCATTGAATCCACACAAACACCCTGTCAGATGGCTTTTATTATTATCTCAATTTTGCAGGTCACTAAAATGAAAAACAGGATGACAATGTCACTTGTCGACAGCCACACAAGTAGAAAATCATCCACCGTCTGCTTTTTATGTGCATCATCTGTGTGACAATTGCTAGCATCTTCAACAGTATAACCATCCTACTATCCTTTCAGACTACGTGCTTCAGGGTGATAAGCTAACATGGTAAAACTAGTGTACTCCATCAGCATGAGCACAGTGGCTTGTACTGATTTTCTTGTGTGAGATTATTTCAGTATGAATAACGGCTTCAGTAAGTCAGTGGATGAGAGTGCCAGCAGAAATATGATTTTTAAAAAAGCGAATCTGTGTACAAAATTAGTACCTGGTCAAGTGAGAAGAAACTGCTGTCCCTTCCAGATGGCAGTCCAGGTAGTTGGCTAGTCCTCCTACGGAATGCTGTGTTATTAGGGGTTCATTGTTGGTCTCTGCCTGTGGGCAGCTTGATCACTTTGCAGACTATGCATTGCTAATTCTCTAACCCTTGCTCACACCTCTCTTAAAAAAATGGCCCTTAATTATACTTTCCTCATTTCAACCCCTTGAGTCTACCTTTTGCTTCCTTTTAAAACCTTGACCAATAGACCTGATCATGAGAAACTCACTATGACACTCTGGGTGTGAATCCAGGAAATGGTGACCATGCCGCAGCAGGGGCCACAGAGATGTGAGCAGCCTGCTCGAGCAACTTTCCTGTACCTTCCAGACCTACTTGAGTTTGATCTGAAATACACCACTTCCAATAGCGGACCAAGTAGCACCAAATGTATCAGAGGCAGCTGAACTTACATGATTCCTTGGTGCCCCGTGGTCAAGCAGTCAGACTTTGCCACAGCCCAGCAGCGAGCTCAAAGCTGTTGGTCAAAAGGAAAATACTTCTGTCATGGTAAAGGGCATAGTTTACTTCAAAACTCCTGGGGTATGCTGTATATGTTTCTCCTGTTGGGACTTTCCAGAGACTCCATGTAGCCTCTCAATGTGTCAAAACATCTGTGCTTGTTGAATCTACGTGGTCATAAGGGTCAAGTGGCAGGGACCTGTCACAGAGCCTTTTCTTGCTCTGGATCTCTCCCTGAAAACATGCAACCCTACAGACTACTTGCTGAGTGTATTGGTGTGGCACAATTAAATGTAGCATATGTTGCCTACAAAATTCAAACACCCACACCAAATGCTATGACTTTCTGAGCGGTAAGTGGTAAGAGGTGCAACAACATGTTGAATAACCAGGTTCAGGCTCCTGCGTTTTCATGGGGCTTTTCTCTCACCCTGTGGTGTACTTGTATCTTAATAAATCATCTATGGTATTGGCTACCTCTTGATCACCAGGTCCAATATGTATGCCATCGGTGTAATAAACCAGCACAATGTTCACAACAATCAACCTCCATTCACCGTGGATTATGACAGTGAGCCAGAGAACAGATAGAGCCCTAAAGTTGTACTTCTGTTCCCGCCAGATGAAAGCAAGCTGCTTCTGGTACTCTTTGCTGAATGGGAAAAAATAACATTTGGCAGATGAATAGCTGTATCCTAGGTGCCAGGGGGCTGTGTTGATTTGCTGTAGTAAAGCCGCATCATCTAGAATAGCAGCTTCAGTTCAAATCACAACTTGATTAATTCTACAATTACCCATTATTCATCTCCATACTGGCCAGATAGGTTAAATAAAAGTGTGATATACGTAATTATTCCTGTATCTTTTAGGATACACTGTTCTCCCTGCCAGAGAAATCCAAATTGTTCCTTTCATGTAAACCCATCCTACCTTTTTTGCACCCCAGCCTGAGGAGAGGAGAGAATTTGAAAAGTTAAGTGATTTTTGGCACCTGGATTCCCTTTGTGGTTTCCCTGTTTGTTTTTTATTTAAAATAGGCTTTGTTTCACAGTTCATTAACTTCTAGAAATCTTATAACTACAAACTTGTGAAAATAAATGTCCACTATTACAGAAGACTTTCTATCTCAATTACATCATGATAAGCAAAGTGGTTGTTAAAATTTGAAAAGAAAATTCTGGACCATAGATAGGCATGAGAGCCAATAATGAGGGAAATGACTGTACCTTCCTATATCTCTCACCTCCCACCCAACTCTTGATTTAATAAATCTAAGAAGTATGTGAATTAAAGGCCTAGAGTGCTATGGTACAAGCTCAGATAGATAGGGAAATACTCTCTTTCCTATACAGGCATCCATGAAGGACTTCTCTAAAAGTGAAAACCATCTAATTTTCATCTGGAATATGAAATTTGACTTTCTTATTATCAATGATAGTCTTTCATCATTTCCATCATTGTTGTATTTAAAATTGCCCAAAATTGGTCAGGTATGGTGGTTCACACCTGTAATCCCAGCCCTGTGGCAGGACGAGGCAGGAGGATCCCTTGAGCTCAGGAATTCGAGACCAGCCTGAGCAACACAGGATGACCCCATCTAGAGATAAAAAAATAAAAATAAACACTTTTTAATTCATTCTATGGAGCCAGTATTACTCTGATACTTCCTAAACCAGAAAAACTTTTTAAAAAGGCTACATACCAATATGCCTCATTAATATAGACACAAAACTCCTTAGAAAAATACCAGCAAATAGAATCCACAAACACATAAAAAGAATTATACACCGTGCGTCTCAGAGATGTAAGGCTTGTTCAATATTTAAAAATCAATTGATGCAATACAGTACATTAACAGACAAAAGGAGAGAAATCACATGATTGTATCAGTTGATGCAGAATGAGCATTTGACAGAATCCACACCAATTCATGACAAAAATTCTCAAAAAACTCTCAGAAAACGGGGTAATTTCCTCAACTTATTAAAGAACACCTACAGAAGACCTTCAAGTAACATCCTCCTTACTGGTGAAAACCTGGACACTTTCCCCTTAACTGGGAACAAGGCAATGATATCCACTCTAACCACTTGTATTCAATATAATACTAGAAGTTCTAGTTCAGTACAGTAAGATAAGAAAAAGAAACAAAGGCATAAAGATTGGGAAGAAAAAAGTCTCAATTTGCACATAACATAATTGTCTCCATAGAAAATCTCAAGGAATGTGCAAAAACAACTCCCAGAACTAATAAGTGAGTTTTGCAAGGTTGTAGGATACAAGGTCAACACATAAATCTGTTTATATGACTTCAAGGCTTACTATAAAGCTACAGTCATCAAACTTCTTGGTATTGGTGAAAGGATAGGCATATAGCTAAATGGTATGGAACAGAGAGCCTGGAGATAGGCTCACACAAATTCGTCCAATTGGTTTTTGACAAAGGTGCAAAAGCAATTCAATGGAGGAAGGATAGTCTTTTCAACAAACTGTGGCAACTGGACACACGTAGGCCAAAAACAAACAAAAAACCTCAAACGAAACTTATACAAAAATAAACTCAAAATGGATCCTAGATTTAAATATAAAATGTAAAACTACAAAACTTTCAGAAGATAAAATAGGAGAAAATCTTTGGGACCTATAACCTGCTGATGAGCTCTTAGACATGGCAGCATGAAAGAAAAGAATTGAGGCCGGGTGCAGTGGCTCATGCCTGTAATCCCAGCACTTTGGGAGGCCAAAACAGGAAGGTCATTTGAGCCCAGGAGTCTGAGACCAGACTGAACAACAAAGGGAGACAGTGTCTCTGGACCAAATGTTTTTTTAAAAAAATTAGTCTGGTGTGGTGGTGCACACCTGTAATCCCAGCTACTCAGGAGGCTGATGCAGGAAGATAGCTTTGGCCCAAGAGATCCAGCCAGCAGTGAATCTGCCACTGCACTCCAGCCTGGGTGACAGAGTGAGACTTTGCCAAAAAAGGAGAAAAAAATGATACATTGGACTTCATCAAAATTAAAACTTGTGCTCTACAAAATACCTTGTTAAGAAGTATAAAAATACAGCCAGGTGCAGTGGCTCACACCTGTAATCCCAGCACTTTGGGAGGTCGAGGTGGGCAAATCACCTGAGGTTAGGAGTTCGAGACCAGCCTGGCGAACATGGTAAAACCTTGTCTCTACTAAAATAACAAAAATTAGCTGGGCATGGTTGTGGGCCCCTGTAATCCCAGCTACTCAGTAGGCTGAGGCAGGAGAATTGCTCGAACTTGGGAGACGGAGGTTGCAGTGAGCCAAGATCATGCCATCACACTCCAGCCTGGGCAACAAGAGTGAAGTTCTGTCTCAAAACAAAAAAAGTATAAAAATACAAGCTACAGACTAGGAGAAAATATTTACAATTATGTATCTAACAAAGGACTCATATCAAGAATACATAAAGAACTCCCAAAAATAAACAGTAAAAAAAAAAAATCCAATTAGACAATTAACAAAAGATGAAGAGCCATTTTACTGAAGAGGATATACAGATAGCAAATAAGCCCATAGAAAGAGGTTCAGCATCATTAGCTATTAGAGAAGTGCAGATTAAAACCACCACTACCTACTCATCTAAACGGCAAAAAAAAAAAAAAAAAAAAAAGAAAGTCAGCTGGCCGGGTGCAGTGGCTCACACCTATAATCCCGGCACTTTGGGAGGCTGAGGCGGGTAGAACACCTGAGTTCAGGAGTTTGAGACCAGCCTGGCCAACATGGTGAAACACTGTTTCTACTAAAAATACAAAAATTAGCCTGGTATGGTGGTGCGTGCCTGTAATCCCAGCTACTCGGGAGGCTGAGGCAGGAGAATCACTTGAACCTGGGAGGTGGAGGTGGCAGTCAGCCAAGATTGAGCCACTGCA